CGTTGGTGTTGCAGAAATGTAGTTTTGAGAGGTGAGGTTTTTGGTGGAACTCATTGTTGCAAGTCCGCTAGGATCCGAACTTATCAAATCATGTTTTTTGGGGAGCCGAAGTGATTTGCTTGTGCTGCATACGTCTCGATACAGTTGCCAATACAGCAAGTCCGCCGGGATCCGAACTAGCAGCCACTGCCCTAACCGACACAATTCAACACTGATGTCTCAGCCTCCGATTGCATACCCCAGATGGCGAGTTGTTAGTATGACATCAAATACATTTGTGCACGAGAAGAGTTATGACTGACTCTTGTGGAACAAAGACAATGGCACTCCCGACACTGACTGGCAAAGTTCGGACGTTGGCGTACTTATACAATCAACTTGCGAACAACTGTTCCCATGGCGGCACATGGGGTCGCCATTTCGTGTCCAGATCAAAGGCACCAAACCTTCATGTGTGATACGTTTGTCGACATGACGATCAGTGCGCACGTCTGGGTGGTCGGCTTATGATGAGCGCCCGGGCACGAGTTGATAGGAATGACACTTCCATCGGTGATTCGTGCGTCAAGTGATGAACGTCCACCGCAAATGAATTTCATCCCGACGTCGTCGACCATGACACCAATGGCGTTCTTCACTAGGGGATAGGAATCTTGTACCACGTCGACGACGTCGGACAATGGTCAAGGGATAACGGAAACACATGCAAGTCGCCTGGGCACGCGTAAGCGAGACTTCAACATGTTCTCCTTTTACCTCGTGGTAACGGCAAGGCTGCTGTTGTTCTTACGTGGCGAACAGAGAATCATGTTGCAACTTCGCTCACACGTGGAAAAACGACTTGTGGGCGTTCTCATGAAAGGGCGATGAGGGGGAAGATGGGAGTGCTCGTAAACAGGCAGTGGTTGAGCGGAGGAGGTAGCATTGTTCGCTATCGAACCATGCTTTCGTAGCGGAGCAATAAGCGCTGCGTCCTTTTGCCTCATGTTAACGACAAAGCTGCTCTTGTGAATACGTGGCGAACGAGAATCATGTTGCACCTTCGCTCCATGCGGGAAGAAGACTTGCACGCGTTCTCATGGTAGGGCGATTGAGGGGAAACATGGGAGTGCTAGTCCCCAACCAATATTTGCGCAAAGGAGGCAACATTGGTCATTATCGAATGTGGTACCGCGTTGGGACACGGGAGATAGTGGCGCGGTGATGAACGATAAGCGTTGTGTCCTCCATCACGTTTGCTAGGCGCGGTGATGAGCGATAAGCGCCGTGACTGAGTTTGCATGGTCGATAAACTTTTCAGGACTTGCTTGTTGGTGCGCGCCATGCACTGGCCATGCAGGCGATTGGTGCACGCCATGGTTTCTAGACGACGATATCCTGCAATGGCAGCCACGTGTCCATGCATGGATGTGTTCATGATCGGAACCCCACCATACCTTGGAACTATGTCGTCGTGGATGGTGATGGCTTTGCGCATTCACGGAGAACGGTGGCACTGGTGCCGAGGAGCTGACGTCTTTGAAGAATGTTTGGGCGGAATGGCAGAGCGACTGCGCGACGACGTTGGCACAGCGAAGCTTTTCCCTGCAGCGCAACGTTCCTCATGCAGCGCAACATTCCTCATGCCCTGGCGAGTCTCCACCGTTTGATGCACAAATTGAACGGCCCTTGCAGGCCACATTTTTTTTTTTTTTTCTTCTGACCTTCAAAATGGCTGCCAATGCGCATCATGACGTTCTCAGAGGGGTGCGATCAAGTCGGAGCATGGCCGTTCGATTCGCAGATCGAACGGCTCGGAGGCGACAACAAAATTTCACACCCCTTCACGTGGAGGCCACACCCCATCTGAATCGCAAAGCACGTGGAGGCCTGCACCCATAGAGGCCTCGCCCATCACGTGAAGAAAATTTGCCCGCAGGTGCATTCTGAGGTGCAAGTTGCAGGACCGATTATCGAGCCACACCGACGAGCCACGCCACGCATTCCCATGATGGACAGGGCCTGTCGTTTCGCCGATGATTGAATCCGACGGCACCACGCTCGTCACTGCCGCAAGCCTGCAGTCGTGACCATGACCCAGTTGCGATGTCGGAAAAGGCCTTCCAGTCCGAGCAAAGGGCCCGTTGCGAACCGAAGTTGGGAAAGCCCATTAAACAAAGCGCCCCCCCCCAAGCGCTCATTTCGCCTTTTGTCATTTTGCAGGGGAGATGTTGTCGGACAGGAGTCCCACACATCCACTGTCGTCAACACCATCGCCCGTCGTTCACGGTGATTGACGCCATCGCTATCGCACGCCTTGGAAAAGAAGGAGACACACGTCCTTCACTGTTGCCATAGTCGCCGCGTGTATTGTCACCGCGCACGCGCACGCTTGCTTGCATCTTGAAGCACCTTCTGCGTCCTGATTGTGAGGGTTCAACGTCATTTCCCACGCCAGTCCTCGATGTCGGTGAGTGGATCACCTTGCATGCTCGTAGCACGAATAGGGCAAATGCTTCACAGCCACACCCGACACATCGCCCTACCACCACAGTGTTTCACGCGTTGATCTTTCTGCCCAGCAAGTCCACCCAGTTGGAGAGTATCTCAACATCGGTAAGTGTAAACGGAAATCACATTGGATGACGAACGCGGCATCCGCACTGGCGATGGGTTTTGCGTGTGTGTCCGCGCACGAGTTTTGATAAACGCATGTGTGTTTGTGTTCGTGAGCGTTGGTGTGAGCGTGTGTGTTTGTGTTTGTGTGCGTTTGTGCATATGACAGTGTGTGTGCGACAACCCGACATGTAGGCAACATGATTCGCACAATCAAACAACCCAACGAACAACGAATCACCAATCCAATCAACCACTCCGTCAATCAGCAGATCGTTCCCGATGTGGTGGTCGATCGAACGACTCACGATTAAACGAAGAAAGATCCGACGACGCAGTCCGAACAAAGCGTTGCTACCTTCCAATCAGCAATGCAATCGCTTACATTTGCTGGCGTGTGCCCGCCTTCATGGTAATGTGTGTGTCTATACGTCAATCGACTCTATGTACTATTCAATCCTTCAATTAAACGGGACCGTCGAGGTTTTGTCCTTGTGATCAACCAAACGTACGATCAACCGGATGTGGGTGTGTGTTTGTGGTCGTCGAAAAACCAAACGTATGATCAACCGGATGATCCCTGAGACGGTCTGGCAGTCCAGTCGATCAGCCGACCGTTTACGATCTCTTGAGAGATCGATTGATCGATTGTCGTTCATGTCGTCATGCTTGCATGTGCGCTCTTATTCACGTTCGTCTACACCTGTCAACTTGATCAAATCAACTACTCGATCAACCCATCACTTTCGTCATATCCTTCATTCCATCCGATCAACAGAGTGTCCTAGGAAGTTACCTGTCGATCAATTGATGGACCGCACAATTGCCGAAAGCAAGCGATCGCTTCATTGGTGGATTCCCGTCCCGTCTATCAATTTGTTGATCGGCATAACGTTTCCGATCTGTCGATTGATGGAACGGTTGATAGTTTCTCATGTTGCCAGGGTTGTGCGGTCGTGTTCGTGTGTGTGTGTACGGTTGTGTGCGTGTGCACATCTTTAGGCATTCTGTGACCAAAGATCAGTGAATCAACTCGCTTCCGAAGACAATTCAGTGCTACAGACAAGTGTTCGATCAACCAATGGGTCAGCCATCAAAACAATCAGTGGAATGAGCAACAAAGAGGGCCCAGTGCACCCGATCTGTTCAATGTTCCATTGTTTGATCGCCGACTGATCCATTGATCGGTAGTCCAATGGAATGGCAGCAAATCGCTTTCGCTAAAACTCATTGAATGATCTCTCCAACGCAAATGCATCACAAAGGCCGTTTGTGTTTGTTTGTGTGGGCGCCCGTACGGGGCAAACAGAGGAATGATCACAAGGGATGGGTGATCTCTCACAGGATCGTCTATGCTGAAGTCAGCCCGTCACACACCGATGGCCAGCACTTCCCAGCGTTGCCACAGATCGCAGGCATCTCCCCCTCTCCCTCTCTTTCTCCCAGGATCATCCCTTAGGAAATCGAGGCGTGATATTACGATGGCCAGCATTAGCCATCGGGCCATATCGAACCTCATTTATCATCGAATCGGGCGATGTCAATGGTCGTTGATCTCTCTCTCTCTCTCTCTCTCTCTCTCTCTCTCTCTCTCTCTCTNTCTCTCTCTCTCTCTCTCTCTCTCTCTCTCTCTCTCTCTCTCTCTCTCTCTCTCTCTCTCTCTCTCTCTCTCTCTCTCTCTCACTTGATGAATCCGGGTAAAAACACTTGAGCAGGTGGGCTTTGCCATAAATATTCGAAGTTCGGATGTCAGTGGACTTTGCATTTTCACCTATCAACTGGTGTCCCTGTGGTCTTCTTGGTGCCCCGTGGATTTTAACAACAACACAAGTTCACCCGCATTCGAACTTCATGTATTGTCCAAATGGGGCAATCGAATAAGCTGACTTGAATCTGACCATCAAATTGTTGGTCACTGATGCCGATCTTCACATATCGCTAAACAGGACAACAAAAGAAGTTCGGATGTCGGCAGACTTCACAATATTCCCGGCAAACATACTTCAACAGTTGTCCTTTTTCGCCAGCATTTGAAGTTCGGATGCCAGCGAACTTCGTGTTTTAACCTGTCCTCCACTGTGACTGGGTCTTTAAGGTTCCCTGTGGAATTGGAGAACACCACAAGTTCGCCGACATCCGGACTTCATGTATTGTCCAGACTTGGGAACGAATGAGTTTCGCGACATTCAAAATTCAGGTGGTGGCCGAATCTGCTGCCCAACTGCACATGTCACGAAGAGAGACAACAGAAGAAGTTCGGATGGCAGCGGACTTCGACATACGTTGGCAATTTACTAATGATTATGAACCCGAATTTCAGCGAAGCATGTAGGCATTTGAACTTCCTCTGCTTTTCTTGCGGCACTACGTAGATCCCGATAACCGGGGTCCACGTATTGCCGCAAGGAAAACAGAAGTGGTTCGGATGTCGGCGGACGACTAAATTTTGGGTTCATAAACATCAATATATTTCGTTTCCCGCAACAGTGTATAGTTGGGATGCCAGGGAAATTCGTGTTTGCACCCATCATCGGTTGTGAATGTGCTCTTCGAGGAGTCGGAAAGACAATAGAAGAAGTTTCGTCAACAAAGGTAAATCCCTGCAAGTTCGCCGACATCTGAACTTCGGTCAGTGTCCAAACCGGGGTGGTGGAGAAGTGTGTCTGATGTCGGAGTGCAAATATTTGTCGAATCGGCCGTAGAACTAAACACATTCATGAAGCAGGACAACTAAGCGAAGTTCAGATGTCTGCGGACTTCGCCAAATTCCAAATCGATGACAATAAAAAATCGATCGTGGTCGCCAATATTCAAGCTCAGGTGACGAAGAATTTCGTATGTCATTATTTCCCTTGCTGCGATTGGGGCATTCTCGGTGCCGCTTGGGATTGTGGAACACTGGAAGTTCGCTGACATCCGAACTACGAATGACGTGAACTCCAAGGCCACGCGGATTCGGTTGAAGTTCGTCGGGATCCGATCTATAGACAATGCGGTAAGTGCCATGTGGTTGACTGTCGGTATCCGTGAGGCATCGACCTTCACAGAAAACGGGGGAGAACTCCAAGTCCCTTTCGACGAACGTGGGAACTGGAGGTCCCAGACTGTGTTCTCCAAAGACGCTTTCTGTGTCCATAGTTCGGACGGACCACACGACCCTCCCTACAATTTCTGAAGTTCGGATCCCGACGAACTTCGGGTGTGCCCTTGCGCTGCTAACAATACCCATGTGAAGGTTGGTTGGGTCGAGGGCCCCGCAACCACGCTTGTGAAGATGGTCGAAACTGTTGTCGGTCCTCAACTCGAAACGATCCGGAGCTTTAAATCTCTAGAGCTTTAAGGCTCTGGTAATTCAACCAGAAACGAAGTTCGCCAAGGCCGCACAGTTTCGGGCGAAGTTTGCCGAGATCCGAACTTCATACAATGCGGCAAGGGTCGTGTGGTTCGCTGTCGCTTTCGACACGACTTCGTTATTTGCAGAAAACGGGAGAGAAATCCAAATTCATTTCCACAAACTCGAGAACTGAGGGTTTTGTGTTGTGTTCTACAACGATTAGTTTTCGTGTTGATAACTTTGATGTACTGCACTACCCTTCCCGCAGTATTCGAAGTTCAGATCCCAATGAACTTAGGTTATGTCCTCACGCTGTAATCAATGTCCGTGTCAAGGATAGCCGCGTCGAGGCCCACACAAGGAATAGTCGCATGACGTGTGTTCCCTTCGTAAAGATTGTTCACGTTGTTCGACGTGGGGTGTTGGAGGGCTTCGTGTGCGAAGTTCGCCGTAATCCAAACTTCTTTTCTTTTGTAACAATGTAATGAGGCCGACGTGTGCAGTTCAGGGTTCGCCGCCTGCGTTTGTAATGCTTCGGCAGAGCCTGTATTGTGGTTTGATGATGGTTGGACTGTTGTTGTTGTGGTTTGCCCAATCCTGACCGCGTGGTGGGTTGATTCATTTGTGTTGTTGTCCGTAGACACGATGTCTTCGCCGAGGGGCGAGGGGGAGCCTCCCGGGACCTCCGGGAAGGAATCAGGAAAGATTCCACAAGACGATCGTCTACGGCCTCGAAATCGGGGTAAAACCACATAAGGTCGAAAGGGTTCGTTGACTCGGGCTGTGGAGATGCTTCCAACCCCGTCAAGTAGTCGTGTGGTCCTATCATCTTCGTTGACGACAACAAGCGTCATAGAGTGCTTGGGGCCGTCTTGCGGTGGGAGGACGAGAAAGGGGGACGACGATGATTCTATATAAAAATTGTTTACTGTGTTAAAGGCAATGTCGTTGCCAATTCCAAGGGGGTGTTGTTGGACATGGATTTGTTCGAGGAGTTCGGAGCGGGTGTTGTGAACACCCTGTTCTACAACGATCTCGTTCGGCAAGGTGGGTTTGTTTTTGCTCGAGAGTTTTTTAACTTGTTGGAGGACAAGGACGTCAGCCTTGACATCCCCTGTGACGTCGGCCCCGCCCAACAACTGTCAATGCTCTTGCAGTTGTGCAGCGGTTGCGAATCCAATGGGGCTGAGCCGGAGGGGGGGGATTTGGGTTCTGGTGTGGCTACTCCGCTGCAGCAGGGCGAATGTCGTGGTTAATTTGACGACAACGAAGATGAGGCACTGCAGTTGACGACGACTTCGTCGTTGAGGCAAAAAGAAAGGTCCGTGCTATTTATACCTGGGGTCTGGCAAGATACTCCGGTTCGAGAGGAGCTCGTTGCGGCTATAGGAAAGCCTACAGTCGACTCGGAGGTCAGCTTGGAGAATGGCGAGGGCCAGGGTACAAGGGACGAAAGCGTGGGCGACGAGGGGATGCAGGGCACTCCGCAAAAGGGCAGGGGAGATCGTCAAGACGCGACGGTCGGCTCTTCGAAGAAACTGAAGACCAAGGCCCCAAAGAGTGTAGGGGAGAAACGGAAGCGAACCGAGGGGGAGCAGGACCGCCCAGGCACCAAACGTCCGGCACAGAAACAGAAGCAACCTTCATCGGAACGTTCCTCGCCACGATCTTCCATCGACGTCGACGTCGGGTACTTCCTGGAGTACAAAGACGGCGTTAGAACAAAGCGGGAGTTCGAGATCATCCCGACGCACGTCATCGGCCTCGGGGAGTGGGAGGATTTGTACTACCAGCGGTCCCTGGATCCCGTCCTCATAGAAGGGAACAAAGAAGCTATGTGGTTGGCGTTCGATAACAAAGAACAGTCGTACGAGTTGCCAACCCTGAAATTGGCACCGCTGGGGTTGGGAAAACCAACTCCCGGGGCCAAGGCTGTACGTCTGAAGCCGGGGGACTGGAAGGAAGAGACGGCGAGCCAATACTACTACTACGCGGTGTGTGAGAAGCACAACGCAGCTGCAGCCAGGTCACTGCTCGACAACGAGATGGCCAAAAAGTACAATTTTGAGTGGTGGCCGACACGTATGGTGTACTTTTCGGACGACGACTTCAAAAGGCACCTCCAAGATAGTTGAAATTGTCGATAAAAGACATTCGGTAGCAGTGGAAGCATGACGGTTTTCCGAGAGCTGTTATGGGAAACCCCAACGGAAACAAGAATAAGTCCGAAAATGACGTGAGTTCTTTACGACGGTGCTCCATAAGACGTCGTACAACAACTTGTGGACTCTCGTGGATCAAAAGGGGGAGGACGTCATCAAGAAACAAAATGTTGCCCTGCTTTCTCATTTCGCACTCGCGATGGCCAGAGAGAATGTCTGGAAACTGGCCGTGGATTTTTTTGAGAAATGGGATACTTGTAGATTGTTGGGCCACGACGGAGCAAAGTGGATCGTAAGGAAGAATAAGGTCAGAAACATCAAGCCGGAGGTCGCCTACATTGACAACGACAAGTTGAGCAGAAAGAAGGTCATTTACAAGGTCCCCGTGGAGCCGTCGACTAAGAAAGGCAAAAAGGAGAAAGAGGAAGGCGATTCGTTTGTGCAAGTGCCTGAGCCGGAAGCACATTGCTAGAAACCGATGGAAGCACTCATTGACAATGAGAAGAGTCGCGTCCTGAAGAAGGTGCTTGCTTGCGAGGTGGTTTGGGTCCAGGCCGACTCCCCCTCGTTGGCGAAGCTGGGGAAGCTCAGCGTGCCGGAAATGGTGCACTTGGTGAAGTGTGACTGTGTGTTGGTGCAGTTGTGGAATTACTACCAATTCAAGTACGAGAAGAGGCCAGACGCGGATTGGATCCAAAAGTACCCTTTCTTGAAAACAAAGTCTGCTATCTTCAAAGAGTTCGAAAGTCAAGGATTGTATGGCGATTTGTGGGACGGTAGCAGGAAATACGTTTCTGACTCCGTGCTGTTCAAGGACTGCCTGCCGTACATGGGTTGCGACAAGGAGCAATGGATTGAGGCGACGAAAAACTTGGTCGGCCACAGGAAGTTGTCCGTCGGATGGAGAAACAAGGTTCTCTCCGTGTTGACTGGAGGTAGAATGAAGAGTCGGGAGATCACACTTGCCGAAGGTATTGTGCACATAAAATGGAAAGACACGGGGGATGTGACATCCATCACACCATTCGACAACGACCCTTTGGAGGCAGATATCAGGCGTGCAAAGTTGAAGGAGGCAGTGGTTGCCACGAAGAGCCACATGTTCGTCCTCGATCTGTACAAACTGGTTAACCTGAAGCTGTGGAAACCGCAAGCGTTCGAGACTTTGAATTCCCATCTTCAGACGTGGTGTTCGTCGCATTGGACACTCGTTGTTTTCATGCCGCAGCAGCACAACCTCTCGTTTCTAGCTAGCATGCACCATTTTTCTTTCGTGAAGCTGCTGGAGGGAAGTGGGTGAGGAGGATTCAACAGAAGAAAAGTTTCCCCGACAGGAACAATTTGTACAAGGAAGACACCCGCATGTTCATCCTCTTCAAGGGTGACGATTTGCGCGTTAACACGTCCCTCGTTTATGAGGGAAGGCTGCCCAAGGGTGCCGCTGCTGTGGTGCGGTCGCCTCAGAGGGTTACCCAGACGGATGTGTTGGGGATTCCCTTCATGCCTTGTGGCTGGTCGCAGACCGTGCCTGAAGGACAGGGCAGTGTCTAGAGGGACATGGAACGCAATCCGACACAATTCGTTGGTCTTCTTAATTTCGTTAGCAAAAAGGGAGAGGGTGTCGTTTTCTTTGGGAAGCCGCATGCGCGAAGCGTGTGGGAACTTCTGAAGGCAGGCCGACACTTTGTCGCGATAGAACGAAACTCCAACCTGTTGTAATTCACGATGCAACTCGTCAAAAGCGAGGTCGATTCGGGGTTCCACAATTGCGAGTTCATAGTCGTGAAGGCGAGACGGGATCACGTGTGGAGCAACAAGACGAACGTGTAGTTCAAGTTGAGTGAGAGCACTGAGAGGAAGAGGAACAAGATATACGACTTCTTGTTCCTGCAAACGCGGCCGAGGAAGGACATTGGCACCAAGTACGTCCACCGCAAGGACCACATGTTCGCGTTGCTTAACAACTACCATGGCGCCTTTCGCATGAACTTGAAGACCTTCCTCGAAAGGTTATTATCCTTGTACTTCATCGAGTCCGAGGAGGAGTTGAAGTTCGGCAGTTACACTTCCTTGATCTCCACTGGTGACGAGGCAGCCACCGGTGTCAAGTTCAACGCCAACGTGAAGTAGGAGGAGAGTGACACTGAGAGCCTCGACCTGCAGTATGACCCACCTCCGGTGGAGCACACTCGAGGGTCCTCGTCGGCCGGTCCGTCAACAAGCACGCCATCCCTCGTGTGACCGATGGCCAAACCGGCGTCGGGCAGTACCTCGATGAAGTTGTTGGAGAGACTGGAAGCTTTGGTCGTCCCCCTGCACACATTGCATCCCAAGTCTGACGTCCCACCCGATCATCCTTCTTGGAAGGATGACAATATTCACTTCCTTGTTGAGCCGCAAAGTCATTCGTCTGAGGTGGACTTGGGCCATGACATGATTTGGCATCCAGGAGTCATCCAGCCCACGATCCAAAAGGGCGAGTGGATCATGGTCGTCGCTGTCCCGGGCGCAGGATGGATGTCCATCCCTCGCGAATCGAAGTTCAACTTCCTACACCTCAAACGATTTCGGTCCTCCAAAAAGTGAGGGCCAAAAATGACAACTTTGCACCCGACGACGTGTCTGTCATTTCCACAGTCGAGCGACTGTTGGACGAACTTCAGGACAAGTGCTGGTTGGAACTGATAGAGGACTACTACAAGCTCGACAATAGCCCGTTGAAGGGCATGGTGGACTGGAAAGTGCCCCCTCCTTGTGGGGCGCACTGAAGTTCCGGGGGGAGGGCACCAGGCAGTGGAGGGGACGAGGGTGACAGTGTGGGGGGTGGCAAAGGAGTCCCACCTAATGGGGAGGGCGGGTCTCGCAGCGACACCACGATAACGGAAGGCAGCAATGGGGTGGTGGGTTGGGCCGTCGATCGACATCCGTCTACTGGCCCTAGGCGGGAGCATGGGATGCAGTTCGCCGACCTCACGACTTCGTCCACCGGCTCTTTGAGGGAGACGATGGCAGCCTTGGTTGCTCTCCGTGGCTGCTCGGGTAGAACGTTAAAGTCCGCCGGGATCCAAACTACGTCGGTTGAGGTGCCGCCACAACGGTCAGCCCTGCAGAGCTAGTCGGGGGTGGGGGTGCTGAGCCAGATTCCCACAATTGGCAGCGGTGCGGTGAGGGACGAGAATGCGTCCTCTGAGGGGGAGCGACGACCGCTGGGATTGGAGTGAGAGGGTACAAGTGGAGGGCTCGTCGACACTGAGACGACGAAGTCCGCTGAGATCCAAACTTCTTTAGGGGGGGGGGGTCGGCCAGGGATTGTTGTGCCGCCGGGAGGGGCAGCGTGAGTGGAGAGAGAAGAGCGGTCGTCGGGATTCGACACGGGTTCGGGAGAAGGGGCTGAATTGCATGGAAGGGAAGGAGGGGGGCAAATGGAGGAAGGGAAGGAAGGGGAAGAAGGGGAGGAAGAAGGGGAAGAAGGGGAGGAAGGAGAGGAGGTGAGAAACGAAGTTCATTGAATTGCTTGAAGGAAAAAAGGGTGCCAAAGGGGATGTGGATATTGGAGACCACAAAGGGGAGGACAGTGAGGACAATGTCGGATTTGGAGAGTCGTCTCACGAGTTCGGGCAACTTTCAGAGAGCATCGCGAGGATGATATCGACGACGATGCGACGACAATGGAGATGGAGACATAGGTGGTCAGCAACCTTTCAACAGAACGTAAAGACTATGAGGTCCAACCGCTGACGTCTATCGTCGATTCTAACACAGGTTCGACGAGGCTTCCCTTGCTATGAACCCATCTAAAGCAAGTCGTCGTATAAGCATCGAACATGTTATCGATGGCATCCTCGACGACCAGCACGTGTCCACGCATCCGTCCACAACGCCTAATGTCGACGACCCTTGCAACATCAAACCTTCCGTGGCAGTTGCGTTCGCTTTCTCGCCGCCGAACTCTTCGATACTCCCGGCCACCCTCGCCAGCGGAGGGGAAGGCGAGGTCGGGGGACGACAACATGTCACGTCCCAAAACAAATCTAGGGTCGACACTCAAGCTCTCGACATGCTGGCTTTGCCTACGCCAACTTCACTGACAAAGGAGCGGAGGGACAAACTGGCTGGCAAGCTGTGAAGAACGCCACATTGTCTGCACGTCCAGGCTTCTGAGAGCGAGAGTGCAGCTTCCTTCGTAGTCCGGATGTCAGCGGACTACAGTCCGCACCATACACACAAGGAGTGTCCACACTGTCTATCAACCCGGGGAGTTTCGAATGCCGACATATTACAACCACTAGTCCTTCCAACTACATTTCATCGGCCTTGCTGTGAGTCAGTCAGGTTGCTGGTCGCGGGCAGGAAAAACTTCAACAAAAACATAACACGTTATCAACGGAAAGATGTATCCTTCTATGAAGTGTGTTCTTATTGAAGCATTCTCTCACAAAAGCTTCCCCGATTAAAAACCTGGCCAACTCAATGGAATGACGGTTTTTTATTCTCAGAAAGAATGGTGGTTTAAGTCCGTCGGGATCCGCACTTCCTATGTCGAGATGTAATATGGTTAGTTTTTGTGTGCCTGTTGTAGGAAAACGTCCGCCAAAACCCGAACTTCGGGGAATGTTGGCCTTCCGCTTTTGTGACTTGTTGTGATTTCCTTTGTGAAGGGTGGGGGTATCAAGCTCGAATGCGCTAGTCGTTTTGTTTTCCAGCCACACACACGCACCTCGGTGCTCATGCCCATTCAAAATCAGAGTTATATAATTGGAGAGGTCCTGCGTCTTTTAGATTATGTGGTTCTCACATTATCATTTTCGTCGGACTTGTGTTGGGAAATGTGTATTCATTTTCCGTTTTGTCTTTCTTCTGTTTTACAGGTAGGGTCATCTCGTACACGGAGGTCCTTAAAGTATCCGGAACACATATTGTAAAAAAAAGTCCCTTGGTTGACTACAAAATACAAGGATATGTGAAAGGCATCAGGGGTTGATGTCGAGATCGGGAAGAAGGAGCATGCCATTGCCATTGAGGAGTGTTTTTCCATTCTGCCCCCAGAGAAAACGGACATATCAATGATATGTGAGTAGGGGTCAGACCATTTATGAAAAACACTTAGCAACGCATCGTGCAATGAAGGACAATGCTTAGAACTATGTTTCTCACTACCCCACGTGTCCTTTGCTTGATGTTGTGCAGTGCGCACCACAATACGTCGAACACGAGAGGGAAGATTCGCTGCAGCGCCTGCACCTCGAAGCTTGAGGGTTTGGGGCGACATTAAATGAGGCTCGGTGCCACCTCACACTGTTCTCTCTATCCTCGCCGATGGTCAATTGTGAATTGCAGCAAAATATCTTTTCACCCTCTTACATATCGACAGCAGGGTGAATGATGAGGTGGTCAATTTTTACATGGCGCTATTGGGGTCGACCGCATGTGCGATACGTGACATTCCGTCAGACCTTCAAGTCTTCAGCTTTAATTCGTTCTTCTTTAGTAAAGTGCAACTTCAAGGACACGGTGGGGTGGAAAGGTGGGATAAAAACGTAGATCTGCTTCGATACGATATTATCTTTGTCCGTGTCCACAAAGATAATGATCACTGGACCCTCCTTTATGTGAACTTGAGAGATAATGTCCTCAAAAATTTTTTATTTTTTTTTCGCGTTATAGTTGATTCAAGTTTTTACCTTAGTGTTTTCGAGTTGATTGTACAATATTTGGAACGTCAAACATTACATAGGCGGTCAGCTGTGTGTCCGATTTCGGATTTAATACGGGTTCCTCGTTGAATTATTCAACTCGCGTTGAATTCACGTCGAATCCCTGTTCAAACGCACGTTAGATCCGAATGAACGGGGTCTGCAAAGTTGGTTTCGCGCGGTAGGTGGGGGGTACAGGGTTTATGAGGGCTTGGGTGGTGCAGTGAGTTGTTGGGTACCACCTCATGCCTTCATTTTTTTTTAATTTTTTTTTAATTGAAAAAAGTAAACAACACGACCCTTACGTGCAGGGCGTTTTCAGGGTAGCGAAGTTGGGCGGTTTGCTTGGGGAGGGTCGGGTAGAACGACAACATAAAGGGTCGTTTCACTCGGCCACACTTTGTTTGCCGCGCGAGCCGAAACGCTTCAACGAGACAAACGCGTGCTGTGCACGACGTCGAACACGAGTGCGAGC